CGCCGAAACGTAAGTTGATAAGAATTTATTTACCATCTTGGCAGCAGGTTTTATTAAAATCTTATAGAATAAATGCAAGGCGATGCCAAGATTTATCGAGAGTCAAACATGGACGCTCCTGGTACAATTTCCAAACTATAGAGAAATTATTTCCTTGGAGAATTGGCATATCATTTACTAAAAGCAAAAATCAAGTCTTGCTCGCTACTCTATATTTTGGAAAGCCTTTGCGATTCGAATTTGGCGCATGGTCGGATTGATTCATTCCGAGGAAAGCTGGTATCGAAATGATCAAACCTTTCTGAGAAACGTCAGTTCCATTGAATGTGGGAAAATAATAGCTACTCCACATTTCACTGACTACTTTCTATAGAAGCGAATGCTTTTTGATTATAATTACAGCAGGCGTCTGATTATAATTTTTGCTAATGACGTGCTATCAGGAACTACGATGGGTGGTGGGATTCAAAGTTGAGCTTTTCAAAAAATTCAGGACACCGTTTTGTAGAACTTGATGATCTTAATTGAACCATTCAGCATGCTATATGAAAAATGTGAAAACCAACCTAGTTGCAGAGAAAAACCGAAAAAAAGCGAATCTGCGTTTTCTTCTTGATTTTTTGTATATTTAGGGGGGGGGGGTATTGTATTTCTATGGAAGGCCTAAATTTTTTGAGTGGTCTACGAGGGAATGCATTGAAATAGAGAATGAGAGAAAAAGCGCATTTAAGAGGACCGTCTTCCTCATGGTAATAGTTATAAACCCACATGGCCAAAGCACAAGTAGTTGTTTGTGCCGTTGAAGGTCGCACCATTCAAGATCCAGTGTTTTTTCGTACACTGATATCGTTTATAAGTAGGCTACAAACAACTCTCAATGAGGCGACCAATTTCATGCTTCTATGCTGAGAATCAGGAAGAGTTTCTCTGAGGCATATGAAGCCAGTTATCACTCATACCGAGTTTGAGGTATATCGTGGTGTCAGCAAGCCATAAAAGCCATCTTTGACAACTGTTAAATGTTATTCACGAGAAGGACAGCGAAAGAATACACAAGTTCTAGACAGAGGCACTACTAATCAACAAGCAAAATAATTTCCACGAATTTTTAATTCATGACATCCCTGAATATGAATGGAAGTCGATCGCAGGGAAGCATCGCTTTGATTAATTTCCAGGGATCGAGTGATTTTCCAAACGGGATTGATCAACGTCCGGAGATGTTATCCGGAGATAGATTTAATTTATTTTTCTTATGACATCATAGCGTATACGAGCTTCCACTTCGGTCTACGGACTACTTGAACTCGGTTCCTTCAAATTTGCCGGATGCGTCATTTTTCTGACCTCGTCTGTCGCACTCCCGTTTGATGTGGTCTTTGAGTGTTGTGCTTGTCTGTCCAAGGGGACCCCCACCACAACCGCCGTAGACTCCAAGCGGGGTGTTTTTCTCTGTGCTCTAGCCTCTTGCTGTCAGGAACACAAAAAAAGTTTAAGTATTCACGTAACCCTTCCGGGGCACCCAGCCCAACATTTTCGCCATTTGGATGCGATTATTTTCATATTTAAATTACCACCGAATTTGATAACGCCGTCAGACGCAACTAGTTAACCAAGACACTCGGAGGTCTTTGTAAATATGAGGCGAATGCACCTGCTTTTTACGAAATGTTCTTTTAGCAGTCCCCGTCCAAAAATCACAAGATAAATTAAACCATCGAGAACATTCACAAGACTGTCTTTACAGTTTTGCTAATTGTAGGCTACTCGTAGAAATACGAATACGATCCTCAGAAGGTGCGAGTTGCATTCAAGTTGGTAATAATTGCTGAACTTTAATAAGAACAGAATTGTACCACCCTTCAAAATGACTGATCCTGGTAAACTAAAGATTTGTGAGACGGGACTACAATTTTCATGATATCGATATTGTTATTCTTACCAAAACCCTTTCCTATTGTACTGTACCGATTGATTGTAGATAACATTAGGCAGCCACTTGCTTCCAGTTGTGTTTTTTAAGTGTTACGGTGCAAAGGAGGAATTATGAGTGCCGAATATCTCGATCAAATGGTAGAGAACTGTAACAGTATCAATGGCGATTTGCTTATAGAAGGACTGAAAAGTAAGAAAGACAGTTTTTGATAGGAACTTTGGACCTTATATTCGTTGTTCATCAGTAAGGATGAACTCCCTTAAAACCACTTGAACTTGTTAGAAAAACTCAAAACCACTTCAATTTTGAATGAGTACATCGCACGAGGATATCCATAAGCTGCCGGGCCAGACGTTTAGGGGATTGTCGCTATTCTGATACCACACTGTTATCAATTCATTCCCACGAAAACAACCTTTTAAATCAGCAGGAGCAGAATCTGGCTCAATGCCGTCCCCATGCCACTTACGTATCCTCTTTGTCATGTAACTTCATCGCGCCTACGTGCCTTTTTGCGGACTGACACATACACTGACATACAAACAGTACACATCGTAGGCGCTTTATATTAGAGAGATTACGCATTCTAAGTGTTTTAATTCGCTGGTCCTGAGCCGGCGTTCTTTCCTTCTCTCTTGCTCCCTTTCAGCGAAGTAATAGTAGGTAGAATGGCGGGATGTGGGTGCTTGTCATCGTGAATCGCATCGCGCTCGTCGCATTTGATCGCGCGTTGTCACGCGCTTTGCAATGAAAGGTTTAAGTCCCAGTGAGAGGTTACGATAGCCGCCGGAAAACTACTGCCGCTGCCGTGGGGATTCGGGGAGACGTACTGCGAACCGTATGACAGCAGTGTAAACATATTAGCCTTGTGATCATTACTAATCTAATGACGCAATATAAGGCCCGAATGCATCGATAAGGGGAAGTTTCTTTTTGGTGGGTCGGGAAAAATCTGACCTTGGTTCACAAGCCTAGAATAAACTTTCATATCCTTTCATATATAAACTTTCGTATATCTAGCCATTTTACAGATTTGCCACCAAACATTGGAAAGCTCGCTCAGATCGAGCAAATCAATGGACGCCTAATCGTGAAAAAGAATTCTGGTGTTCCAGATTTGTCGTTTCTACCAAATTTAGAAGAGATTGATACTGTTGATAGCGACCGTAAGTGTAAGTGTTTATCGTATCAGAACCGCTGATGGCGAGGGTTGATACCTGCTCTTTCTTAAGCACCCTCTAATGAAACCTCAATCTCAATGACAATGTCTCACACAAGGGAGACTAGGCCCTTGGCAACACCAGTCAGACCGCCTAGCTAACTCCGGGCTCTCCTCCCTTCCGTGTAGTGTTGGCCTGCCGCTCACGTCCCGTCCAAACTTGGACGCTCCTGTGCATGAAAACAGGGATTATGAATTTGCGGCTCAACATTCACACTTCGTAAGCACCTTGCCCGCCATGAACGGAATCCTGCTCAACTCATATGTGTTTAGGTAATTTTGTTCATTATCTTCTTCTTCATTATCAATCGTATCACTTGCCATCAGCATTCCCGTACTGTTGGCTGTGCACCTATCGTATTTGTGGAGTCTAGGTTCAATTTGACAATATTCGCTCACGCCACGACCCCTTCAGGGAGAGTCCAGTCTTGCCACCCGCCATCAGCGTTTCCGTCCAACCGCCTGTACTCTTACAGAATTTGAGCGCTCTAGGACAACGTGATAGGTTTTGTGAGCTTCCAGTCATAGATACACAGACACACACACATCGTTAAACACATAGAGGAGTACCATCACTCCTTCGGTCAATATCGTTTTCATTATAGTTCGCTACATTTACAGATTTCTTTTTGCAGCTTCTTTTCCCTAGACATCGTCAAAGCTGGAACACTGCACCGCTCAAAGGAAAATGTGGGCACTGCCGGTCAATTACAAAGCAGATAGGTATAGAAAATCGGTATATCGGCGGAAACCCCACCCCACAGCGTAAATCCTAACACACGTGAATACCCTATGTCTGAAGGGAGTAAAGCCACGAATCAACGGTGCATAATCTGGAAAGTTCTGAACAGAATTGCTGGCTTTGTCTCTAAACTATTCCCGTGGTCCAACCCTATTGCAGGTATTACTTTTCAAGAATGTTCTAAGTCCAAAGGAGCAACTCTTGCGCATGCCGCGTCTCCAGAGGGCGGAACCAAGTCCTGCCACTTGCTCTCAGGTTTTCCATCCTGCCGCCTTTACTCCTACCAAATTCGAACGCTCTAGGTCCTCGGGAGCAGGAATTATGTATTTCCGTTGAGACCGTTGATATGTATGTAAGCCGCACTATTCATTCCTCACTTGTTCCAACCTAGTTATCTGTTTCAACTCGATTTCAAGTAGGCACCACACAAGGTGATGATAAACACATCAAGAGACAAACAGACCAACAGACACACGGACATTTGTGTTTTTTTACAGTAGTGCTCGAAAGTCTTCGGTCAAATGCATTTTCGTTCGTAACTTTTTTCTCAGTGGAACAAATCGCGCGAACCTTCAATATGTCCAACTATACTTCGCACTACCCAACATTATTTGACTGCCCAGCTATATCTACGCAACTAAGAGGAGGGCGTTTGATGAGATGGTAGACTTCGCTGAAAGCAACGCTAGCGAGTTAGGAGAGAAGCTCCAGAAGGACCAATGCCTGTATTCAGGGTTGATTCTGAGTTCAGGCTCTTTGAGATATCTGGAGCATTATCAGATCGCAGGTCAGTCGTAATAAATATTCACAATACTGCCATGCTACGTATATTGAAATTTTGCATGATCAGATCCGATACGAAAGGAGTTGCGACTGAAGAGGCACTTGGCCTGAAAAATTTTCAGCGCTACTGTATATTAACCGGTTGGCCTGCGCATGATACCGTGCTCGTCTCATGACTTCTAATAAATGAATTTCCTAGAAATACCTGGGGCGTAGTCGTTTCAGGAACACAGTGTATCACTTTCTCCCGCAAAGGGAGAATCGCTAGAATCCAAATAATAGCGTCATAAGCGGTCTATCGAGAGGTCTGGTCTGTTCTATACCCAGAAAATTGCCCCCGATGACCATGTACATGCGATTGTGCATCCATGTGTTAAACGAGACATTGGAGAAATCAAGAAAGGGACTCGAAACCATCTTCTTTCTCATCTACCCATTGACCACTGCGGCTGTACTTCATCGGAGATGAAAAGCAATTTACTTGCACTTCCTTCATAATTCCGCAGCCGTCGAAGTAAGCATTTGATGGCATACCAATTGACGATCTCGTTCGCCTATATATTGTAATTAACATTTTACGCAAAAATCATGATAAGCTTGTAAGCGCAGAAGTCTTACACAAATTTTTTACTTCAAAAACATAAATGTCCTGACTGCATGAGACAAATGAGCGAAGACTTTTTCATTCGGCTGAACAATGGAACTCTGCACAGACAGTTACATGGAATTTGTACACGACCGTCGGATTGCTCGAATAACGCCTGGCTGTTCTCCTTCACATGTCGAGTTCCAATGCCTCACTGAGACTATCATCAGTCCCCCTTTCCTTCTCGAAAAAACAGTAGTTAGCAGCATACCTACATCGAGTAGTACAAAACTACACTGGTCGGAATCGGTTGCGATCATCACTTGTTGCGTTTACAGCTTCAATCCGACCACATATCTCCAACTTTTTGGAATTGGAACGCTATACGACCAATGGAATCATAATTGCGATTGGGCGGTCCATTACACAAGAGACTGATGAGCAAGCATATCGCTGTATCGGCCAACGTCTCCACAGCGGGATAACCCACCGAGATAGTGTACCCTACCTTACATGAAGGCCAGATGTGTGAAGGGAGCTGAGTTGTGAGTTAACGCTACGTAATCTAAAAGGCCTTTTGACAGGATTGTCGATTTCGCATTTCCCACTTCTGCCTTGTCGTCCCTCCGGATTCAAGGCCTGTCACTCCCATTAGTCTTCCCACCCTTTCCCCCTGCATATTCACCAAATTAGAAAGCTTCAGGCCCCCATGATCAAATTAACTAATTTCGCGCAAGTTCCGCTTCCAGTCCCAGTAGGTGGAGTCTACAGATGCCGTTTCCATTAGTTCCCCAATCTTGCCACCTGCATCTCTATCAAAATTGAATGCTCCAGGTTCAAATTGATCCGAATTAACAATTTCCGCGCAAGTCCCGCCTCCAGCGGGCGGAGTCCACTCATGTTGCCTAATAATGGTGTTCCATCTACACCCCTACTATATTTGAACGCTCTGGGTCCAAACTGGTCCGAATTAACAGTTTGCTGACGCCCGCCTCCAGTGCGCGGAGCAAAGCTTGGGTCACGTGTTCTTAAGCAGCTTGGCTCATTCGCCACATGTTCCAACCTGGCTGAGCTGTTCCAGTTCGATTTCCAGAGGGCGCAATATAAGATGGCTGCAGCGGACAAACAGACAGCTAGGCGAACAACTCGACTAAAATAGATATTGTAGCACTTCAGTCAATGAGGTGAGGATTTGATTATTAGCTTCATCGAGCTTGTTTAGTGCCCTGTTTGGAAGTCGTCGGCAATGAAAATTTCACACTGAAAGGATTGACGGGAATTAGAAATATTTATGGCAATGTCTATGTTTCTACTAGAAGAAAATCAGACGTCCCAGCAGATGTGAAACAGTACCTAAAGCAGATAACTGTTGGAACATCAACATTCGTATATGATAACGTCACTCAGGAAGGTGGAAGTCATTATGTACTATGGATTTGTATAATAGGTTTGTAAATTCATGGTTTCTGCTTCGGCATTACTTCCTGTAAAAAAATGTGGGAGATCGAGAAATTCGGATTTTTTGACGAAATTTCTCAAAAGTCTAGGTTTACCAGAATGTTCTGGATGTTTCCAAAAAAGAACACCATTGATGTACGTAACATACCGAAGGTTTCAAGATATCATAGTTGACCCAACACATCGAGCCTTTTCTTCTACCTTGCCCTAATAGCACGGGACTTGAAGGGCTAGAATAAGGCTTAAAACTGCTTACGGGGAGGATACCAAGTCGCATTCAAGACAAGATGTATACCGACGTAGGTAGTTTCGAACGCTGAGCTAAAACCTGGGTTCCAAAGCTGCGAAACGATTCTGGGAACGAAGTACCGGCCCCTTTCTCCAGGCGTCATGTCACCTTTTTTCCTTCATACAAGGACCAAGCAGGGCTTAAACGTGCACCGATAGCGCACATGGGAGGACAGCGGACTGGTGGTAGAAGTGACACGGAGGTTCGAACCCTTTATGCAGGCGCTTGCTTTGCTTTTTCATAAAAAAANAAAAAAAGTGTCTTGAACTATTGCAAAACCCCTTTACAAATCATATAGACTACCTACAGCCCTCCTTCATATTTATGGAGCATCAGAGATGCTAATACAAGTATATTTTTCGGACGACTGCACTGACCGAAACAGGAGGGGCGCATAGAATCCTTCTGCTCCCAGCACTCAAGATCTTGTGCTTGTGAGGATACAGCGCTGTTGGATGAAGTAATGCCCCTCTATGGGTAGGAGTGAGCTGGTAAAATTCAGCCACCATTTTTATCAAAGATACTATCTAGACAATAGTTCATAATCTGGACTTCCACGTTAGCAACGGCAACTCCATAATTCGCCTAGTCTCACTGGTGTGCTTTATGGTTAGCGCACCTAGATTCAAAAAATTCTTTCATACTCGTGGTTTGCATACCTGGCTAGGGACCTGGGAGAATTTGGAATTCCTGTGGTATATTCTCACTTAGACGGGAATTGTGAGAGTTACGGAAGGGGTGACCTTTCTCTCGTGCATTGCTCGAATTGTCAGAGGCTTTTCTGCTCCAAACACTTAGTGTTGGATTATCATATCTATTCATGAGACACCTATTGTTGTTCAGTTTCTCTCACCTATTGTTTAGATAGTATTTTTGAATAAAAATGACAGCTGAATTGCACTAGCTCACTTCTACCCAGGGCATTACTTCATCCAAAAGCGCTGTGGCCTCATGAGTCATCCGAGAGCCCCTTTTTGAAAGTGCATGGACCCGCTGTCTTTCTTGTTTTCATCTTGAGTGCCGGGAGCAGAAGGTTTCTATGCGCCCCTCCCCATTCAGAGTGTGGAGCCGACGAAAAAATCTTGTATTAGCATTTCTGGTACTCCATGAATTTGAAGGAGGGCTGCCGGTAGTCTATATGATGTGTAAAAGGGTTTTGCAAGAGTTCGGGACACTTTTCGCAGAAAAGCAACGAGAACCTGCATCAAGGATTCGGCCTCCGTGTCCGTCTGCCGGTCCGCCGACCTTCCAATTGCGCCATCGGTACACGTTTAAGCACTGCTCGGGTCTGTTATAAAAGCAACAAAGTGACATGACACATGGGAAACGTGGGCCTGCAACTTTGCTTCCAGAATCGTTTCGCAGATTTGGAATCCAGATTTGAGATCAGCGTTCAGAACTACCTACGTATCTCATCTTGAATGGCCACTGCGACCTGGCATCCTTTCCGTTAGAAGGCGCAGTTGCTCGACACGGTTTCGACACGATTGTGCAATGCAGTGGCCACTTGCAAACTGGCAAAGAAGTTGTACTTGTCGAACATAGTTAAGCGTCTTCTTCGCTGTAGGGTTGAATAAAAAGGGCAGACGCAACCGTATATTTCATGTGCACTACGCATACAGCTAGATAGCGTCCATATACGGCAAGTATATGGAAATCCAAGAACATCCTACTTATATAATCGGCTAAGTGTGTCTGTTGGTGTGTTTGTGTGTGTGTGTGTGAGTGTGTGTGTGAGTATGTGTGTGTGTTTGTCCGACCGGAAAGTCATAACTCCCGTCCCATTGTAGCTAAAGCATTCAAATTTGAAATGGAGATAGGCGGCACGATGGGAACAGCGATGGTACGTGATTGGAAGTGATAACAATCGAAAGAAACAGATAAGGAGCCTTAAAAGGCAAAAGCCACAGGGTCCGTAACTCCCTTCGTATCATCGATGCAGCCTTGGCACTTTGGCAGGTGATGTAGGATGTGAAGGGACCGTCAGTGATTGGTGACAGGGAATGATACCAAGTGATAGGGACTGATAAGAAGCCATAGAAGGCGAGGGCCTGTAGGCCTGAGACGCGCTTCCTGTTAATAGTGGAGTCATGGTATTTCAATAGCTGATGTAAGATGTGACAGGATCGCAGGTACTCGGTGACGGGATCGAGAACGGTTGGCGCCAGGCCAGGAGCTGATAAAACTGATAAGGGCTAACGAAAATCCTGGAAAGCGTAGAGCCACTATAATAATGGCATTGATAGTGGAGCCTTGACAGTTTAGCATGTGATGTGAAGTACGGCGGGATCGTAGGCGACCGATGATAGGGACTGATAACAGCTGATAGCGACAACTGATAAGATCACTCACCAACTGAATTCAACTCCTGTGGTATCTATGATTTATTTATGATTACGACCGCTACCCAGCAAGATTTGTAAGTCGGTGGAAGATCAAGTTTGCTTCATTTTTGATATCATTTACGACAAAGCTCATCCGACCGCCAATAATTCGGAATTCTCAATTAATGATGTACCCGAGGAGGAAAGAAGGTCCAGTGATAACGACATCTGATAATGGTGTTATTATCACTTGAGAACATTAGTGAGTACTACTTAATTCTTTGGTTGCCTATCAGTTAAATCTTTAATGGTTCATAATTTTCAAGATGAAGAGCAACCGATCGACACTTTTAATCGTAGGCGTAAGCGTGGGCATGTGGTGCACGCAGTGGCGTGCGTAGCCCAACTGGTGAGTAAAATGGTGCGATGTGTTTGATA